GAAGGAAAGAAGGAAAGAAGGAAAGAAGGAAAGAAGGAAAGAAGGAAAGAAGGAAAGAAGGAAAGAAGGAAAGAAGGAAGGAAGGAAGGAAGGAGGGAACTGGGGTTTACCTTGACTTCCTGAAAGAAACAAGATAATGACAGAGCTTGGTCAGCATGTTCCAGTACACCTGACAAAGTTGGGTCTCTTTGGATGTGTATAGCATTCCTCATCCTAGATCCTATTTTTATGACTTCTCCAGACTCGGTAGCATTAAATATTTCTGCATAGAAGATGCTTGGTTCTTGACCAGGAAAGAAAACATTTATCAGTGTAAAGGAATTGTTAGCCAAAATATGAAAATGCTGTATGACTACATAGGTACTGGAATTTAAACTCAGGAGTGTCTGACTCTAAGGCTCAATTTTTGTACCCTGTGTTCTGCTGCTTCTCTAACAATGTGCCTGAAGTGCTATGTGAGGGCCTGCTTGCCATGACTCAAGGAAAAAATGATAGCCAAGGAGTGGGACTGGGCAACAACTAAAGGCTGCTACAATTGTGGTTTGTCAGATGCTGGTTTCTTTGCAATGCCTAGATAGAATGCAGCTGGGAGGCTCTGGACAAATGCAGTATTTATTGTTAGCTATGGCTCACTGCCTATAATTTCTATGTACTCACTTTCCATAATGATATGGAGCTGAGGAATAAGTACCCTTCAAGAATCCTTTTGCCTCCTTTCTTTAAACATTAGGAAAGAGCTGGTCTAAGTATCCCATTATGCTTCCTGGCACCAGAACTCCAACCTGATCCCACTCAATCATTGGAGCTGAGGGGGTCTTCCAAATGAAAGGCACAACCCCGCTATTCAGTAGTAAACTGCAAAAGAAAATAAATGTAAAATGGGTAGTTGCAGGAGTTGGGAAAGGGTTTTTGTGTCTTTGCCCTTTCTACTGAATGCTCTATCCCTCTGCTCCATCAGGTATTACTTATAATACCTGACACAATGTAAATGCTATATAAATAATTGTTATACTAAATATGGAGGGTCAATTGTATCCTGGCACTTATGTATTTTCTCAGCCCCCCAGGTCCAATTGGCATGATATCATCAATATGTGCATCAGTGGGACATGTAGCAGCTTGCTCGACTGACCAAAAGTTTTGTAGACTATATTATAAGCAGAGAGCAGGAAAATTTCACATAACCTGGGGCAAGACAGTGAATGTGTTCAAAACTCTAATTTAAAATTGGTAGGATGATATATTTTAGAAACATTTTCATCAATATGATCAAAATTTTAATGATTACTCAAGCTTCGAATTTGTAGAAAATTCATATATGTAAGATGTCTCATTTCCTGATAAAGTCCACTAAATAAAATGTATGGAGTGAATTTATTTTTGGATTTTTTTCTCTTTTATTGATACATAATATTTTACATATTTATGGAGTACATGTGTGTGTTACATGCACAGAATGTGTAATCATCAAGTCATGGTTTTAAGGTTGCCACCACCTCGAGTGTTTATCGTTTTTATTTGTTGGTATGATTTTAAGTTCTCTCTTCTGGTTACTATGAAATATAAGTAATATTGTTGCTAAGTATGAGTCACCATAGTCTGCTATTAAATATGAGAATTTCTGCTGTCTAACTGTATGTTAGTACTCATAATCAATCTCTCTTCATTCCCCCTTCCTCATCTACTCTTCACAGTCTCTGGTATCTATCATTCTATTCTCTATGTCCATGAGATCAAATTTTCTAGCCTTCACATATGAGTGAGAAGATATGATATTTGTCTTTCTGTGACTGGCTTCTTTTACTTAACATAACCTCTAGTTTCATCCATGTTGCTGAAAATGACACAATTTTTTTAATGGCTTAATAGTATTCCATTGTGTGTATATACCACATTTTCTTCATCCATTAGTCTGTTGGTGAGCACTTAGGTTG